AAAATAATTAGGACAGCAAAAAGGAACGTCTGTTTTTTGTCATCTAGGTTTGATGACTCCGATCCCCCCCCATCTACATTTAAGTTATGAAACAAGAGATTCCTCGAAACCCAACTTTTCTTCGTATCTAAGATGATCAGGCTTGCACTCAAGAACAACCGATATTTGTGGAAGTTGCTTATATCTAAAATAAGCAACGCATCTTACCTATGACCCACTGCCACACATGGCCCTATGATGGACCGAAATGGTACCATTACCACGATACTAAAGACTCGGTATCAAATCCAACCGAGAATGTTGATGCAACCAAGGCAAGGTCAAAACTACTGTCCACCATGGAGACAAGGGAGGGTGAAACTAAATGCTAGCGTGAAGCCAAATTATGTCATTGTGGCAAGCTCAAATATCATCCCAGAAGACTCATTTTGACTGAGTTCTTACCTTAAATTAAGATATACGAAAGAAAGCTGGGTCTTGAGGACTATCTTGGTTTATAATTGCTGAGCTCATTTCCGTTTCGAGTGAAAGTTTTTAGTGAAGAGATTCGGAGGACGATCTCACCAGAAAACGACTGAGGATTCCTGTCGACCAGCTGTCAATTGGACTGATTGAAACATTTTCGTCGACGCTGTCTCACAGGCAATCTCCTTCGTTTCCGGTTAGAGTATGCTATGCTTCCATCTTTCGTGTAAAGAACATCCTCAGAGGCATTAGCTTCAAACCATATCAAAGCTAGCGAGTCAAAAAAATGTACCTGCTTACCACTAAATGCTTTTTATATAACCTTAACTAAACAACTTGCTTTACATCATATTGCAAGTGAGCTCAACATTTAAAATTAAGAATTTATTGAGGATTACGAAAATACATGACTATGACAATATTGAATATATGAAGATCAAGATATTGTGGCCTCTGGTGTCATCGCAGTCTACTTTCGATTTAAAGAAGTGGTTTGACCTCGTTGTCGCAACTTGGTCTTGTTGTCAAGGCGATCATGTAGGATGCACCTAGTCCGAAGTCGTCTGCCATAGTAGTTGTCATGATTCCCAGCATCAGACAGTGGTCTTGATACATTCTCAAACGTTTCGCCGGCATCGTAAACGGCATCATCAGTGAGTTTTGCCATTCTCCGCACCAAGTTACGAACTCACCAAAGAGACAAATGAAGTAAACCGCTCAACAATCGTTCTGCCGATAACGGTTACACCATCACTCCTCTTTCTGTCATTGTCTATCTATCCAATCTTTACACTCTTATCCCACTGCCGCCCTATCACAACTTCTCACTTGTTTACATTTTGATCATCATAATGTGCCCTTTTGTGGTAAACCGAGTGTAGCCTCATCACACTTTCTATTTACCTCGACCCTTCTCTTTTGATGGGCTTACCCCACTCGGGCCTCGAATCCGGATTTCCTCATTGTCTCATAGATCCGTTCCTAATCTTTCTGGTTGACCGATTTCACTCGGTTCCAGTCCCAGAGTGCATTTCATTCGAGGCGCTATTTATCAAGGCCCTAGAAACACATACACTGCAGCTTCACTGAGCGGAGCGCTTAAGCTCTGATTCCCATGTTTGCAGATATCAGGCCTTCCCTACACTGGTCATCTCGTTGATTAAACCCATGTTATATGAGCAAAATGTGGACTCCTATCTCTGGTCGAATGCGGCATCTCAAGTGGATTTCTAGTGCATTTACTTTGAGAATGTATCATGTCCACTGTCAGATGCTGGCAATCATGACAACTACTATGGCAGACGACTACGGACTAGGTGCGTTCTACATAGTCGCCCTGACAACAAGACCAAGTTGCGACAACGAGGTCATCCCACTTCTATGTGAGTATTGTTTGAGCTAACTCTTTTAACTCAAAAAGAGCCTTCACTGACAAGAATTCATAAACATAATGTGGTTCAAGTTAAACATTTAAATAAAAGTAAGGGATAGAAACACAATTAAACCCATGATATTTTTCTCTCACACATTGGTTCAAAATGTGTATAAAAAATATTGCTTTGAAACATCAGCCAGCGTAATTTGAGCTTAAATGTGGTGAGCTCAGCTAGAATACTCTACCTGGCTTTTGGTAAGTATGGCTTAATTTGAAGTCCCATTTTCCATTGACCCATGCAAGCATTTGTAATTGTGTCCGGTACCATGCAATCGGGATGATATTAAAAAAATAGGGATGATTTAAATTTGGTGGGTAGTAGTTATTTTGAGATGTCATAATAACTTGCAGCTATCACTGCTGCACACACGCATGATCAAAAATATGCACGCACAAAAACACACAAGTGCATGCCTCAACAATGACATATACCTGGCGTAATATGCATATAATTAATCAAATACCTATGCTTGAGCATAAAAATGGTATTTAGGTTTCAGCCGATAACATTTCCTCAATTAATTCTGATGAGTATACCACATTTTGATGATGTGTCAAATACAGAACAAAGGTTTAGCACGTTCTTACACAGAATAAAGGCCTCTGTCCCAGAAAGCATGTCAACTAGAATGTTCTGGCAAGACTTAGCGAAAAGTGGCGAAAAGATTCTTCGTTTATATTTCGGCGAGATCGACCTTTAAAGCTCTTCACCACACCACTTCAACCGGAATAGAAATGTGTTTCAATTTTTTTCTAAATAGTTTCATGCAGGTCTTAATTCAATTATTTTAAATTTTTCACAAGCTTTTTTAAGCATTTTATTACACATTATTTATTTCCTGGATGAGAAGAGTGTCACATCCATATATCTACTGGCAATCCATTAATGAACATGAAAATGTAGAAAGCTTTAATATTTCTTAAGATTTAACTATTTAATTTATTTAACCTTTAGGGCTCGACTCATCTGCTACATACAAGTTTGAGGCCGAGAGATTTCAATCTGATAATGCATTCAAATGCAAAGTGATGTCTCATCATCTTCTTTTATTGGATCGAGAAGATGATCATGTTCAAAAGACTGGAGTGGTGGGTCAGCAGAAGGCTTACACAACAGAGCTTGCTAGGAATTCTGGCCGCGATATTTCAGTAGTCTCTACATACATACATGAACGCGATGGTACCAGGGTAATCGGTGGTGTGCATATCTTCCCACTGCATTTCATCCACCA